AATACCTTGTGCATTGTTTCACCAAAAGCGGCTGTTTTCCTAAATACAAGTGTCGGATTGTGTCTACAATTTGTCCGCTATGCATACATCCTTCAACGGAATTCATTTCAGGCGTAAAAACCAAATGTTCAGGTTCGATCCCATATTCCAGCTATAATCATAAATTACAACGAAATGCCAATAATAAATACTTTGTGTGTGGGGGGTGTGCGCGCGCGCATGTAAGAAGCAAAAAGAAGAATAAGCATCTTTTAAAATAATTTTTTTTGCACTCTTACCTGTAATGGAAGATTTTGATAAAACAAGATTGGAGAGACTATGGCAATTATGCTGTTGCCTTGATGCAATTGCGGAATCATGATTTGATTTGGTAGCAAGCAACATTCATCTGAAAAGATATCTTATTTTAAATTTATTTGACTTTAATTATTGAAATTTATAGTATGAAATAGAAATTTAATAAAATACTATATCGATGTCAAACTGACTATAAAATATTTGCGCGCGCGCGCACGCACATATGCACATACACGCGTACGGTCGCATGGCACATACGCACGCGCACACACGAGTATGAGTAACTCTATATATATTATCTTGCATGTAAGATACGACATCCAAAATAAATTAATTGCAGAAAAGATAAAAAAATATTTATTTCATCATCAAAGAAATAATATTATGCCACTGTATTTAGATATTTCATGCATGTCCTTTAATATACAATCTGGTGTAGTGCAAGTGATCGAATTCTCTATTAATCATATTCAATACTTTATTGTTTCTAATATCCTTTATTTATACATTTTCTTTATTTATAATATTTCTTTTAACAAAATCTCATCTTTTATTTGTGTTGATCATATATTTTTTATATTTTTTAATTAATTGTCATAAGCGATCGATTTGAATTATTTAATTAACTCGACAAAATAGAAGTTTCTTGCAAATTTGCTTCATTGGATTGTAATATTCCCATCGATTTCTCCACAATCAATTCGGCCTTCCCATTTATCTTTGAATTGACCTGGAAAAAAATTTTCATTTTTTCGCCAACTGGATTCTTCACATCAGCTAGAAAGTAACTTGATTCGCGCTTTGACTCATTCATTCTCCCATCCTTTTCATCCTTTGCATCTTCCACATCTTTTATATTTTTTTTGAATGCTCTGCATTCTTGAAATCTTTCTCATTCTGTATATTTCTCACGTTTTCCACATTATCATTCTTGATTACTTCATCCGAAAAGAAATATGTTTTCATCTCCGACAATTTCGCGTTCTCAGCTCTTTCCGCCTCGCGGATTAAATCAATGAAAAATAATTCTCTCGGCGACAATAATTCCGTAGGGGTCTTCGGGGATTTTACTTCGTCCTCTGAAGGCAACACCGTCGTTAGGTTCAGATAATCCTGCAAGGGATTCTTCTTGACATAAGCACTGGCAGTGCTTAAGCGAGTTTCTTCATCTTCGATATGCATCACTCCAAAAGTATCTTCGATATTTTTACCAAATATTTGTTTGTGTACCAAAAGTGGTGATGCCTTTTCCAAGTTTTCTTTAGATTCTGAATCAAGAGAATTATGCCACTTTTTCATCTCGAAAAATTTCTGATCTTCAGATGACATTTGGTGAATGGTCAGAGGTTTCTTCATGTTATTCAAGCCATATTTCGAAATCGCATTAATTTCAAAACTTTGTCTAGCTTTGAAATATATCCAAAAGATCGTTAGCCCGCACATGATTATGATCCAAATTAGAAATGCAATCATCCAGAAGAGAAAAGACCCGTATGAAGACCAATATGTAAACGTGTAGGATACTGCCCAAATTAGAGGACAAAAGATAAACCAATAAACCAAGAATACACTTAAAATTATCTGAGGAAATGATAAATGTTCGCACCTCTTCAACTTAAATTGCTTGTTGATCATGCAATTGTTTTCACATAGTTTGTTTTCCTTTAAGGCAAGCAAATCTTTATGTTCAATAGCCATTGTATCTTCGTGGATAAAAGTTTTCACTCTTTTCACTCAATATACATGATATTCCTCTTAAGGTATATTAATTCCAGATTGATACTGTATTTATATTATATGGTGAAACAAATGTAATAATTGTATTATTTATAGTAATAAATCTGCTTCTTCTGATTTATGGAAGTGTATATTATTGTAATTGTAATTATGCACAACTGTTATGCGTAATGTGAACTCTTTGAGATCCTTGATATACTAAACATTAAAATTATGTCAATTCAGGATGTGATAATTTTATCACACTTCCTGACCGCAAGTTATAGTAATCAAATAGCAAATGTATAATATACGATAAGAAGTAAATTTGATTTGACATTGAATCTATCTGTTTCTGAATTGTAAGAGTATTCCAGATACTCTAAATATTATTTTTTTAATGTAAGAATTTTAAAAATAAAAACAATGAGAAGACCACATTACTTTAAATTATTCAAGTAAAATAACTTTTTGTTAACTCAATTATTACATTAACACCATGAAAGATCATCGCAAGTTGTATAAAATATCTATTTTGTTCTTTTCCTATGCAAAACCATGCAAATCCAATTTTAGAATTGACTAAGAACTTCACATTACAATACATAAACATTATATGTATAATTGAGATATTAAAAAAATTTCAAAAAATTGATAAACATACCGATTAAACCATCGTCCACTTGTTGCTGCGTATCTCCGTTCGGTTGTACTAATTTTGATAATAAACAAAACAATAAGGCTAGGACATCCAGATTATCCGCACTACGAAGAAATACTGGAAGACACGATGGACGAAGTAATCCCCAAATGCGTATGATGACTAATAGTTCTCGAACAGTATTTAAGGCTTTATAATCCTTAAGAAGCTCATACTGTGAAACAGAAAATTAAAATTGTCGTACATTTTGTGAAACCATCTAACATATACAGAGCGATATAAAATATTACAAGCTGTAATTTTCTTGAAATCTATTCAAAATGGTATCAAAATTCATTCTATTTTCTATTTTTTATGATTTATTATGATCTTTTATGTAATAAGATATCAATACCGGATTTGTAGGAGAACAAAAGAAAGCTAGCACCTATTTTTTACTAAACTATTATAAAATTGTATCAAATGCCTTGCTTTGATGGGAATATAGCAACGTATTTCGTGCTCAACGAAATCCAAAGGAATTTCAAAAGTATTTAGAAATTATCTTTCTAAAAACAAATTAAAAAATTTAAAATCAATCATCTTTCTCTTAATAAATGATCAAATTTAATGATACCAATTAAAAATTCCCTTTTTCCTTTTACTCCAAGAAATGATTATTGTGAAAAACATTATTCCTGCCTTGAATCTCTCTACTGACATGATAATACTATGGTTAAATAATCATTATCATTATGATTATCATTAAATATAATTCATATCAATTTATTAAGAACAAGATATAGTTGTAGTTTTGAATCATTATGTTTCAAAGTTGTGAAACTAATTTCACATTATTAGTGACAAAAGTAAATATTCTTGAATTTATATAAATTAAAAAATTAAACCTAAAGATCTTGGCTAAAAGAGAAATATCTATATTATCTATTTGTATTTTAACATTTTTGGTCTGCATATATT